ACATACACACTGTCTCACCTCCCTGTGGGAAGAACTGAGAGTAAATGAGTTTAAACACGTCCTCAGTCACCACTCCACTGGGACATTCCTGAAATGCACAACAGATCTTAAAACAAACACTATAAAAACACCATTGTGGCCAAAAACCTTCAACGTAATACAATATGCAATTAATTATGTCTTTCAGAAAAAGAAAGAAAGACATGTAAATTATAATTATGAATTAGAGAAATAAAGTGACAATTATTTGTGCCACACAAAGGGTGATATTCCCAGCTAATGTACTGACTTTCTTCCTTATTTAATCTATGTAAGTAGAGCAACATTTACATTTTTGAAGGCCCTGTAGAGGAACTGCAGCTCTTTCTTGCTGAATTCAGTCTCTTCCTGTAGTATGTCCAGATCATCAGGCCGATGGCAAACAAAGGATATTTCAAACTCATCCTCAGCACTTTCTGTAAGAGAAAAATCTCATTATACATCAATGTTACATTTCTCATCTGTTTTAGAGAAAGTGTTATGAAGAAATTCATAATTGGTAAATTTCATTAATGCGAGAGGACAGTAGAGAGATGACAGGAAAGCAATAGGTGGAGAGAGGGGATTGGGATCAGCAAAGGACCTCAAGGTGGGAATCGAACTCAGGTCTGCATGAGCACAGATGTGCTATGTGTCAACACAATAACCACTAGGCTATAGGCGCGGACATAATTGGTTAATTTTAAGGTGAAGTTTATTACAGTGTGGAGCGTAACACTTTAGTGGCAAATCAAACTCACTTTCAAAATATGCAATAAATAAATAAACATTGAAAATATATAAGTACAAAATATATAAGTACAATAAATAAACACAACTCTGCTTTCTCTGATTAAAAAGTAGCTGCAAGCAGCAGTGACGGGCCCAAACACGACACCAGCACCTAGTTGCTTAATCAAAACAATGCATAGTGCGTATGTCACACTGCACATAGCTGATCATGAGCCACAATAGCCACATCAATCAGCCCTTATGAGAAAATACAAAGCACCAGTTCAATCAACATTGAATTAGACATTGCACTTAAAATATATGAGACTTTCTTTTAAACTATGACCATGGCAACACTGTGCAAGACATCAAAAATCTTAACAGGCGTAGAAGGGCAGTTTTCTAAGCATATTTCATAAATGAATTGCATTCTGAAGCAAAGTTAAAAAAAAAAAAACTGAAAAAGAACTCCGATCAAAATTAGAGAACACTTACAGATACCTCCAAAGTTACTGGTGATAATCTGGCACCTGGTGCTAATTTCCTTAATTATATGAAAAACCTTATTTAACTGGCAGCATCCATCCAATTTTCATTGAGACTGCATGATGGCGAGCCGCTCTAAGGTGACTGAAACCCCGGGACAGCAGGTTGTCCAAATGAAGGCCAAAGGGATGACCCTTTCACCCACTGCAAGTTGGTTGGTCGTTCCAATCTGTGATTTCTCTGTGATCTGAATCTGTGAATATTGCAGGTTCAAGTCCCCCAAAAAGGCTGGTCATCCATGTAAGACAAAAGCACAAGAAGACAGGACAAGCAGGGGCTCTCAATGGGGAATCGGTTCAGCACTGCAGCTGGAATTGCTTGCCAGTTCAGTGCTGAATAGGATAAGGATCTGTCTCGGCATGTTTAAGAGAATTTGGATTGAAAGCAAACTCTGCAGTGACAAAGCCTCTCATCAGCAGAAGGAATCAAAAGGCTAGACTTTTGCTGAGGAGCATGTTGTGTGGAGAGAGGAAAACGGGTTTAAAGTTCACTTTAATGATGAGAGCAGGTTTCATTTATTTGGGTCTGATGGGAAACATTATGTCTGGCGTCAAACTGGGGAATGACTGAAGACTGAAGCCCAAGTGCGTAAAGAAGTCAGTGAAAGAAGGAGGAAGTGTCATGGTTTGGGCAATGTTTTCTGCAGCAGGAGTTGGGCCTCTTATACAGCTACATGGCAGAGTGAATGCAAATGTTTATCAGAACCTCCTGCGGCAACATGCAGTTCCTTCCCTGCATTCATCGCCCAATCAGCCTGCAATTTTCATGCAGTACAATGCCCCTGTCATAAAGCAAAACAGGTGAAGCAGTTCCTTGAACATTGAAATAATGAAATGGCCGGCCCAGAGTCCTGAACTAATCCCCATTAAAATCAGAATCAGAATCAGAATGAGCTTTATTGCCATGTATGTTTACACTTACGAGGAATTTGTTTTCGTGACAGAAGCTTCCACAGTGTAACAGAATGACAGTGACAGAACAAAAAACACAGATAATAAAAAATAAAAAAAGAATAAAAATAGAACAAGTAAATAAGGAATAAAAATATATAAATTGACAATTGTATGTGCAGGTATATTACAATAGACAGTTTTGTATGTACAGGTATATTATGTGCAAATGTGAGGTGTAGACTGAGTATGAGTGTTAGATAAGAGTATGAGTGAATAAATAGTGTGTGTTCTACAGTTATTGTTAAGTGTTCATGAGATGGATGGCCTGAGGGAAGAAACTGTTCCTGTGTCTGGTCGTTCTGGTGCTCAGAGCTCTGTAGCGTCGACCAGATGGCAACAGTTCAAAGAGGGAGTGTGCAGGTTGAACTTCCTCAGCTGGCAAAGGAAGTACAACCTCTGCTGGGCCTATTTCACAATGGAGTCTATGTGAGTGTCCCACTTCAGGTCCTGAGAGATTGTGGTGCCCAGGAACCTGAATGACTCCACTGCAGTCACAGAACTGTTCATGATGGTGAGTGGAGGGAGAGCAGGGGGGTTCCTCCTGAAGTCCACTATCATCTCCACAGTTTTGAGCGTGCTGAGCTCCAGGTTGTTGAGACTTCACCAGACAGCCAGCTCTTTAACCTCCTGTCTGTAAGCAGACTCGTCACCGTCCTGTATGAGGCCGATGACTGTAGTGTCATCTGCAAACTTCAGGAGATTGACAGAGGGGTCTTTAGAGGTGCAGTCGTTGGTGTAGAGGGAGAAGAGCAGTGGGGAGAGAACACAACTCTGAGGAGCTCCAGTGCTGATTATACGGGTGCTGGATGTGTATTTTCCCAGCCTCACTAGCTGCTGCCTGTCTGTCAGGAAGCTGTTGATCCACTGACAGACGGAGGTGGGCACGGAGAGCTGAGTTAGACGTAATGTGACGACTGGAGTTACAACAACTTGTATGACTTGCATGTTTTCATTTCATTGACTTTTCCCGGGATTCGGAGTGAGTCGCGGGAAGAAAAAGGAGGCTGCTCGGAGATCGTTAGTGTGCTGCGCCACCAGGCTGGATTTACCGGGGAAAACCCTCCACATCAGTGCCTTTCGGGGAACACATAAGTTTACCCTGCCATCGACTTACATTGCAGGATTCGACTCAAGTAAGATGTTTCCTTCTTTCATCAGAAACCTACGGATTAAGGGGTAAAAGTAAAGAAGTTTGAACGATCGGGAGAGATTGCATTGAGACACTTGTTACACATTTGAACTGTTTTACAAGTGGACTGCGTGGGACTTAAGAGAATTGAAAATACAACCTGCACAGCCTAATTCAAATTAGAAAATTCAATTGAAAATTGTTTTTTTAGGAAATGCAGGAATGTTAATTTGAATAGGGTGAAATACACCATGTAATTGTGTTAAAGAGATTTTTTTGTTGTTTGTTTGTTTTCTGAAATGTTGAAATGTTCTCTTTAAGGGAGTGTTTATTCCAAACTGTGAAAAAAAGCTGAATTAGTCCTAATTGTGTATACACTGTTTACTTAAAAGGGCCCAAGGGTTGAATCTTTGATACATTTGTCATTATTTTCTCGGTTTATATTTGTTTGTTCAGTGTTTATTTTCTCTGAATGATTTTCCAGATTTCAGGTTAAGATGACTAAAACTTTCTTTTAATTTTTGATTTCCAGAAATTAAATGGTTGATTCTGAACCAGTCAGTTTACTTTGTGAATATTCATCTGCTTGTTACTGCTGGTAATTTGACTTTAGGCTATTGTTGGTTCTGGGGTAGGGGCGCTCCCTTCTATGCTGCAGGACATTGTGAGGTTGGGGAGATATTTGATGGTTTATGGCTTTCTCATATGTGCTGTAAACTCCAGGTTAGGCCTGTGACAATATAAAGCCTGGAGCCCTCCTCATTTTAGTCCAAATATATTAATCAGAATAGTACGGAGCATATTGAATTTGGAGGCAAGGACAAAGATCCTTTGCCACCATTCATCCAGAGCCACAGGATATTTAACCCCTATCAAGACGGGCATAAGTACCCGTTACATCTGCTTCATTAGTCCATCTTTTTACAGTCCTTCATACAGGTTTAGCTGATTTCAGTTTCTGCCTGCAGGTCGGTATAAGATGAACCAAACAGTAATCAGAGAGCCCCAAAGCTGCCCGTGGAACAGAGTGATATGCATTCTTTATTGTGGTGTAACAGTGATCCAATATATTACTGTCTCTGGTGGGACATGTGATGTGCTGTCTGTATTTTGGCAGTTCACGGGAGAGATTGGCTTTATTAAAGTCCCCGAGAATGATTAAAACAGAGTCCGGGTGTTGTTGTTCTGTGTCTGTGATCTGATCAGCGAGTTTCTGTAAAGCGGAGCTCACGTGCGCTTGCGGAGGAATGTAAACACTGACGAGAATGAATGAGCAAAACAGTTAATGAAAGCACTTCTAGAACTGAACAGCACATCTTCTTTAACACAGTTACATCTGTACACCACCTCTCATTGATGTAAAAGCATGTCCCGCCGCCACATGATTTCCCCGATGATTCTGCGTCGCGGTCCGCTCTGAACAGCTGAAAGCCCGGGAGACTCAACGCGCTGTCCAGAATGGCGTCTTTCAGCCAGGTTTCCGTGAAACACAGAGCAGCAGAGTTTGAAAAATCCTTATTTGTCTGGGAGAGCAGAAGGAGTTCATCCGTTTTGTTGGGTAGAGAGCGGAGGTTTGCTAGATGGATGCTAGGCAACGGTGTTCTGAATCCGCACTGCCTGAGCTTCATGAGGGCGCTGGCTCGCTTTCCCCGTCTGCGTGTCCTGAAGCGTTTGATCAGTGCCGCTGCTCCGCCAACTACAATGTCCAGCAAAACATCAGAATAATCGAAAACCATTGAAATATCGGGTGGTGTGTACTGCCGAATGTCCAGTAATTCGTCTCTGGTGAAACTGATTGCAGGGATATAACTAAAGACAGGACAAACTAACAAAAACATAAAAACAACTGCGGAGCACGCCACGGAGGCAGCCATCAACATCGGCGCCATCTCACATCTCATCTCACACATCTCTGGAAAATACTTGGTGACAAAGTTATGGCTAAGAAACCCACTACAGTCATTGAACTGTGAAAGAAGAGTGGACCAAGATCACACCAGCGCAGTGAAACTAGTGATGTACCGCAGTGTACTCTAATAGATACATTTTCATCCTTCGACTTGATTGTTTTGTTGTTATTATATCACACATCCTGTGCATAGTGCAAAATGTTACAGTGCAAAATAAACACTGGAATATTTTCCAAGTTTGCTTTGTAAACTTGTTCCTTCATTTCCTGATACACTCCCTGTTGAAAAAAACAGCATATGCTGGTTAGGTATGTTTTGATGCTGGTTTCAGCTGGTTTATGCTGGTCCTTTTGCTGGTTAATGCTGGTCCTTTGCCAGCACATGACCAGCATAAACCAGCAAAGGACCAGCTTAAACCAGCATCCCAGCGTCAAAACATACCTAACCAGCATATGCTGTTTTTTTCAACAGGGCTGGCTGGTACCAAAGAGTCTGAGTGGAAACTCTCTCTGTCCTATAAAGATAAAGGTTAGCTCTGTCGCTCTACTCTTACCTGAAGAGAAGTGAAAATAATCCTGCCTAACCAAAGGCTGCATAGAGTGTGTAGCCAATCCAGCCACTCACCGTCTGTAAAGCACCAGTAGTACAGCGGGAAGAGGGACACCAGCAGCAAGATGTAGAGTCCACCGGTTTCATTGCCGGGCATGAGCTGGTTGAAGCCTCTGCACTCCTGTGACTGTGACATGCTGTATAATAAAAGCGGTGTCTTTCAATGTGAACATCACCAATTTATGCGGCTGAAGTTGAGATGAAGCGAGAGATTGCTGCTGGACACCTACTAAAAATCACCAGAAACTCACTGTACTTACCCTAGTTTACTAGCACTGTACAACTAGTTCATTTGACTTTGTGCTCATGAGAAAAAATATTGAACCAGATTCAGAAGCTCTGTTTCCAACACAATTCATTTCCTTTCACTAACCTTGAAAGAACACCGTATGCAAAATATCTGTGATACAAAACACAGGCCAAAATTTAAAAAATTTGCAGTGAAAAAAATCTTGATATACAAATATAAAGTACAATCTAAAGACCTAATTTCTATGCAATTGATTTCTGGAATAAAAAAGACAAAAAGAGTGACCATCACTGTAACATATGAATAGTAACATCCAAAAAACAACTACAACACAGAAGGGACACACAAGTAGATGGTCCTGCAACCGTCATGAGGAGGTTAACTAGTGGTGTTGGTGGATTAGTGTTGACTGCCAGTCTTTCTTCTCCTCTCTGAAGGACTTAAGCCAGACTCCGCTGATGGGGTTTAATTCTTGGGTACAACTGAGGAAGAACAAAACAAATATTATTACACACACACACACACACACACACACACACACACACACACACACACAGTCTTTGGCACATTAGCTGCTTCAGAAAAACCTTTGATTTAAGACACTATCTCCCGGTTTCACAGACAAGGCTTACGCCTAGTCTGAGTTTAAAGTGTAAGTCTGAGCGGTTTTAACTGAAAGAAACTTGCACTGACTGATCTTAAAATATATCAGTGCCTTTGTTTTGTCTCAAGATGCACACCAGTAAAGTTTTTTTTAAGGCATGTTAATAAAAATTACTTAAATGTCCTAATTGAACTGTGGCCTAATCCTGGCTTAGCCTAAGCCCTGTCTGTGAAACCGGGCCTGTCTTTTGCTTTAGTACATCAGTTGGAAAAACCCATTTTAGATTGGCAAACATTGCATGCATATTTTGAAAGATTTTGGCTTAAGCGATATTAAAGTCAGTGAAGTAAACCACAGATTTTTACTAGTGCTGTCAAATTTAAAAATTGAATTGAAGTAGAAATTATCAAACACTAAATTAAATATAGATGAATCCTTAAAGCTACTGAAGTTATTGATTTACTCTTTTGTTCTTTGATGAACAGACATTACAGCAGCTGGTTATTTGGCTGCTATTACTTTAAGAGCTGCCGCTGCTGAGTGTGATGCAGATCTGACACGCATCGTATTTTCTCACAGAGTGCGCCGCTGTATTTGTGCAAGAGCACAGTATAACGGCTGACAGGAAAAATGGTTTTTATTGACATTTGTGACCTTGCAGCACAAAAGCAGTGTTAAGTCGCTGGGGTATATTTGTAGCAATAGCCAACAATACATTGTATGGGTCAAAATTATAGATTTTTCTTTTATGCCAAAAATCATTAGGATATTAAGTAAAGACAACAATCTTCTAGAGCAGGGCTCGAAAATAAGGACTGGCCGATGGCCCGGTGCCAGCGTGAAAGACGTTCGGGACAGTAGACGGATTTGTCACTTGCCTGATCGGGCCACTGCCACGTTGTCACAACATTTTATCATTTGCATGTTTTAAGACTTGTTCATTTAAAAATTAAAGTGATTAAAAAGCATTTGGACGTGAAAGACAACTCTTTTCAGTACTCGCGCGCTGTGTTCTGTGTGAACAGCCGTGTCTTTGACACGCACGAGCCGCCTGAACAGACAGATACATACAAAAGTGTGTCAAAATACCCGTCCTGGCAAGTAACTTAAGTCGCTTTAATCTATATTGAATTTATACACTGGAGTACAGATGCACAGATCTACCGGACATTTTTTGTTTGATTTCAGACTATCTTCTGTTCCAACACAAACTGCACTGCAGTCATTTTCCCAATGGCCATTTGTGTGGAAATATTACCTTATTATTATACTTAGTCTGTATTTAATAAATATATATTTATGTTTATTTTTGGCTAGTGATTTTTGCTGTGGTATCGAAATTGAAATAGAGAATTGTAAAATCTAATCGGTATCTAAAATATTGGTGTCATATAAGCTTATTTATTAGAATACAATATAACAGATCAAAAACAATGATAACAGCAGCTATTTTATTTTTTTGTGGCAGGGCCAGTGAAAATGTTGGCAGGGCACGTAAAAATTTGAACGAAGCGTTGATCCCTGTAGAGTAAAAACCATGATAGGCTAAATCTTTCAGGTTTTATTGTAGGCCTGTATGCAGTGTGAACAGGGCAATAACTGGTGTGAATCACTCACCCCCAGCAGGTTTCGGGGGACGTACCCCTCTCGGCCGGCGGAGCGCACCCACCACCACTCGGTCTCATCCTCGTCCTCCCGCCGCAGCACCGTCATGCAGTCGTCCTCTCTGAAGGCCAGCTCGTCGTCCTGCACGCTCTCGTAGTCCCACAGGCCACACACCACCCCGCGGTTCATGATGCCCATCTTCTCCTGGACGCCTGCACAGCACGGGAAACAAACACAGCTTCTCAGCTTATAGCCCTAGTGAAAAATAAATATACTTAAATGTATCTAAATTACATTTATGTCATGCTGAGTATACTACAAATACATTTACATATTATGCACGTAATAAAAATATCCTGCAATTGTACTTTTGGTGTATTAAACTGCTATACTTAAAGTCTGCTAAATTGGAACATGTACCTAATGCACTTTAATTGTGCTTTAGTCCAACTAAAGATATACTGACGTATATTTGATTGAGCTAAAGTGGAACTATTGCAAGTTTACTTTACATTTCTTGCATTTAAAGACCGATATTATTCAAAGATCATACAATCCTCATCATTAGTGACATTAAATCACATTTTAGGTTTAATATCAAGAAACGTGCATTGTTCACTAGTACTCCAAGTAAAGTTTAATTATAATTTTTATATCAGTAAGTCTCGAGCAATATGTCAGTAAATATGTTAATAGATTTGAACTATATTTAGTATGAAATAAATGTATTTTAAACATATGACTTTTTTTACTAGAGAGGAGTGTTGTGTTTTTCATTTTAATTTTATATTTCTTTTTTTTTAACTACAAACTCAGCACCAGGGTCATAATGTGCATATTCCAGGATCCCATCCATTTTGGGAGCACAAGCAGTGTTTCTTCTTCTTGTTTAAATGTGCTTAGATTTTTCATATTTCTCTCATCAATTCTTGATCTTTACAGCAGAAGTGACTCAATCACGATCTCTTTCCATGTTTCATGTGCTCATGCCCCAAATCCCAGGATTAATCTAACAAATAACTGAAAGAAAATGGATAGCATCAAAAGCAGGCTGGATTTGATTGGTTTTATTGAATCGATCCTGTAATCTCAAGTTTTTGCTAGCATTGTGGTACAGGCCTCTAAAATCATGAGCAATAAGCCTCGACAGTTATTATAGTCATTATTTTTGTTTTCTATATGCACAAAAAGTATTCTCGCAGCTTCATAACATTACGGTTGAACCACTGATGTCACATGGACTGTTTTATCGATGTCCTCACTATGTTTCTGGACCTTAAACGTGTTAGGACCCTTGCTGTCTATGGACTCACGCTGGATTAATGACAGCATTTTCCTTTTTTGTGAAATATCCCTTTAAACAGTCAGTAGAGAACAGCTCTTAGTCTAAATCCTTGTTCAGACTGTCAGTCCAAATCTGATTACTAGCGTGTCTATATTTGTGTTCAGAACTGATTTGTGTGTATGTTAGCGGTGTAACGGTACACGAATATGATTTCAGTACAGCAGGGGAAAAACTAACCTTTTTTTTTTTTTTTTAAATAAACAGTGGTTTACTGAACAAATTGCTCTTTCTTTAAATACATTCAGTTATAATTAAAAAAAAATCTACCTCAGCTTATGCTTTAAACTATAGGGAGCCCTTTGACATTATAAGGTTACAATAAACAACTTAACCCAAACTTACAATTACTATTTAATTTTAAATATAATCATCAACGCTCAACTTAAAAAAATTATTGTATGCAAACATGTAAATTGCACATAATGCAGTTTTTAAATTAACTTGGTTAAAATATATTTACTTACACAGTGGCTGTTATAACATGTTTCGTAAAAGATTAATTTAAACATACATTAAATAATTAAGACTAACAGGTAAAGTCAAATATAATGAGTATATAGTGTAATATTTCGTGAAATGCTCTTGTCTAGACTTCATTTCTCAGGTGAACTAACGAGACACTGGTGACTTGACTGAGGTAAATGAAATGCTACGTGATATTTTGTTTACAAGCTGTTTTATTGATGTCCCTCTTCGAGTGAAATACTGATTGAAAGAGGCATGAGATGTTCATTCATGTTTATTCTCATTAAAACCAGTAGTACAGAGGAAGGAATGATTGCCGTCACGCTGGATTATATTACGTTTTATGAGGCAGCGCCAGAATTGTAGGAAGCTGAAATGCGTGGCTTTATTCGGTCTCCGCTAGTCTCAAAACTCAGAGACACGTATTGTCATTTTTCATTTGACTTGCACTTCCCAACAACACAACCTTGTTTGTTTTCTACAAACGGATTTGTAAAAATCTGATTTCATATGATTTTTTGCTCTTGCAGTTGCTAAATATGATCGGATTCCAATCGAATGTGCAGAAAAATCCGGTTTGGACTGACAGTCTGAGCAAGGCTTGAGAGAGCCTGTCATCATTCGCTCACCGTAGAGGAACTGAGAGCACTGAGTGTATCCCTCCTCCATCTCCTCACACTTATCCGCTGCCGTCTGCATGTCACTGTAGGTCATGGCAAACACGGCAGCCCCCGACTCCACCAGGAACTTACACACCTGTACATTATTACAGGACGCGGCGCAGTGCAGGGGCGTCCTAAACACACACACACGCACACACACATGGTTACACACACACACTGCCACCAAAACAACAGCATGTGTCTG